TTCAGAGGTCTAATCTACAGACAAATATTCATTTATATATTATGTAGTTGAATAAACCGGGAAAAAAATTGTGATTAATTAACTCCTTTTGGGTGTAATTCGCTCTGCATAGGTATGGAAGCAAAATCATATTACATTTTAATTTTTAGAAATCCCATGTGAGTTTCTCATATGGTAATGCGAACAGTATATTATCAGGCAGGCAATCTACCACAGGTAGATTATGGACACATTGAGGAGGGACATAAAATTTAGGTAGCCTATATTAGTACAGCTTTGTAGTTGAAAAAAAATTTGTATACAGTGTACCTGAAATAGTATTGAAGTCATAGTTGATCATCCCGGATTTTAAGGGTATTTAATATTTATATATTAATATATATTTTGGGGGATAATTTTATTTATTTTTATGGACAAACCGGCTAATTGTACCTAGCTTTGTGAAAGGTTTATATTGTTATCGGTGTGCATTTTATCGTTTAAAATATAATTGGAATATTGGTGTACGCGAGATGCATGAGATTATTTTTATCGATAAACTTCTCAAAACAATTCTTATCGTTGACCTTTGGACGAAAAGGATAGGTTTCAGGTAGCTCTAAACCCGCTGGCCGCCGTATATCCGTAATTGCAACGTAACAGACCATTACTTATAATAATTGATAACTCCTTTGTTTATTAAGTTAGAAAATCAATCAAATGCCATAAACCTTCTCCGCAATGAGTTCTTCAATTAAAAAAAAAAAAATCATAACGATGGGTTCAGTAGTTTCCGAAAACATATGCCTCAAAGGTTTTCATTTTCACATTTATATATATAGATAGATAGATAGATATCCTTAGATGTATAAACTGTATGAGTGGTATCCGCTCAAGATCGTTTTCGAATGCAATTATTTTTCAATGAGTTCAAATTTAACACGTCCATTTCAGTGACTTGCTCATAGACGAGGTACACTCGACACCTACTATACAGCAGAGCTAGTTTTTAAACAATGAAAAAACCGTTTCAATATTATAATATTGTATTTAAATCTAAAACTCGTACAGCACATGATATTTTGTATTTTCGCACTGAAATAGTGTGCCGCACAACTGTACACTAATATACTAAAATATGATATTATGCTATGGTCTAAGACGGGTTGTTTTATAATGATTAAATATTGTTCAACAAACAAACCCTTCTTAGAAAATTGTATTCAAATGCTACATGTGCCTGTACACCAGCTGATCACAAACAATATCGCGACTCGAAAATATTGTCGGGATGATGATGGCGTGTGTTTTTAAAATTATATACGTTGGTAAGGGACATGTTTAATGGTTCGCCGGCGGAACCCTTCTTCCTGCCCGCTAAACTGTTTTTACCGAACATCTGTGCTGGAATTCGTTGTTCATTTATAGTCTTCAATGGCATAAATTATGAGAGGACCTTGCCGTCCGTCGCTAAACGACTGGAAAACGGTCGATGTAATTTTGTATGGCATGATACATAATATTCCGGAAATCAGTAAGACTAATTGCACGTTAATTGTTGCTCTTGTCCCATTTTCGGGCTCTGCACGCGCAAATTATTATCATCATGGCTTCGGAATTAATCCATAGCAATATTTCCGTCGAGCTTTTATATTTGCACCCACCCTGCCTGCGTCGATGCAACATAATATTAATATAATATACCTTTAACGCACTCACACACTCACACATCATATTATATAATACACATATATGAATTTAGAATATATAGTTTATAGCCCAACCATTCATTAATTGCATTACCATATTTTATATCACACTCTTTAGTGCTCGAGTTAATAGGGTTTCGGATTCAAATTGAATTAAATATGCGCATCAAAATTCGAGTAAAAAAGTTAATTTACACCAGTATAATAATATATCCATTGAATTTAATTGTGAGCCTGAGAGCTCACTACTATAAGCACTTGTTCTGTGTACATTTGTCACGTATAAACATGCAGTCTATTTTTATGCCGTTTGTTTGTGGAACACTTGGCTGTACAAACCGTTGATTGAACTAATAGGTACCACCCGCCATTTATTTTCTTTGGAAAAATACGCCTCGTATGAAGTGTATATCTCTAAATGCAGAATTTTATTTAAAGTATAATAGTTAAAAAATAATAAACCAAACTACATGTCATACGAATAAAAAAAAAAAAAAAGATTATAATATAAAATAAATATAAGTTATTTGAAAGCGTAAATAAAAAATTCTTGATACATGGCATTTCATTAAAATAAAAAGGTCAAACAAAATACATTAATTCGGCTTAAGTAAATAATAACACGATAAAAATAAATTAATACTTTTTTTTTATCGCATTTGCATTTGATAATATAAAATGCGATTCATTGAAACTCATTCAAATAAAATATACATGTTCGTATACACTATATACAATTATTTTAATATTATTTTAAACATTGGCAGTTAATTGAAAATTATTATTAGAAATAGGTACAGCGTTATATTTATTAATGATAAAATGCTCGAGTTAAATAATGGAGTTCTTATGTATTCTCAGTATTGCGGATAATCATTATTAAAATCAGAGAGTAACATATACTGTTACAAAATAGCTTCAAATAAATGTTGAAATATTGTTACCTTTATACAAATATATATTTTAACATTATTTATTTTGAAGGAATGAACAGGAGATTGAACCACAAAAATAAACAAAATAATACTGGTTATACTTATATACTCACTAAATAATAATATATTTTATACTCCAAATAGCCTTTTAAAATATACATCTACGATGGGAACGACGGTATTTTTTTAGTTTTTTGCAACAATAGCGTTTTTTTTTTATGGCATGGGCAATGCAAATCATGAAACATAATTCAATCACATAAATAATATGAGTAATAACTTTTGATACTAAACTTTCAATGATTCCACAAAACTGTACCTACCTATATGATTAATGAACATTGGTATTTTAAATTTATTGATTATCAACGCCATTCATATGATTTTACAGGTACTGCGTAAAAAACAACTCTTAAAATAATCTCAAACGTAGATTAAATAAAAAGAACAAATTGATTGTTATAAGAAACACCTGGATTAAAATTGACGACCAGACTAATTATATACAATTGATAAGATTCTTATCTGAAATTACTGTAAAGTTTTTGCTGTATCTATAAAGCTTTGTAAGTAATCAAAACAAGTACACAAAAGTAATTAAGTTATAAGTTATAACTTAGTTCTCAAAGTAAGCTTAAAAAAATTACCATCCACAGTTTAATGAAGTACACAATGTTTTAGAAATGTTCATAATTAACAAAAAAACAAAATAAAAATATTCAGCATTCTCAGCTTTTTAAATCATGTTATTATGTATAACAACGTCCAATTTTATAGATTTGTATGTAATAGGTACTGTTATTTGAAAAATATGTATGACTTAAATTATGCTGAAAACAGATATCAATATAATATTTGTTGTAACTTTACACATAAATTAGTCGATGCACGGATTTAATATATTCTGCAATCGAATGTATCCTATCTTTGTTTAACCACCTAATTTTAATTTAATACTCTGTTTGTTATAAGTTTCCACAATTTATTTACTTAAGTTGCTAAAAAAATCGGTTCCCATGTATGCGCTTACGCGTAACGCGTCATAAATATTCTATTTCACAACATCCGTTTTGAAGATAATAATTATATATTAATATTTACGTTCAGAAAATGTACGATTTGAAATGTTACGTTTTTTATTATTTTAAGAGAAAAAACTAATCGTTAAAATGATTTTAGAATCTGTATTGTAGAATTTCATACAACGTCGGTTGTACCAAATTCATATGTTTGTAATAATAATATATCTTATCCTTGTAGCGTTTAATCCATAACTGTAGTTTTGGTGTACTTGAACCTGGCAAACCAGGATATCATTACTTAAAAAAGGTATTGCCCCGTGAAATAAAACTCATACCTATGTTATTACCTATATATCTAAGAAATATATTACAACACGTCGCATTGTTATATCGAATGCGTAGTTGAGATTTTTGTTCGATCTTCACTTGTTGGTAGACGGTACACAAGAGAGACCGTTTTCCCATAATACAATCACAATAATCATAATGGTCCGGAGATTAACCACACACACACACACTCTCGCTCACACTCGTCCCCTACAAGGCGACTAGAAAATATGCAGCTTATGATGGCCGGGCCACATTATTCGGTCGTTTGGAACCCTCGTACCGGTTTTTCGGGGAGACGCAAGTGGTAGTAGTTAAAGAAAGAACAGGAGAAAAAAAAACACGAACCGATGATAATCGTGGATTGAAGCAGGTACCCTGCTGCTAAACGGTACGGCGGGTGGGGGAGTAGGTCTCGGTGGCGGACCTAGCCGAAACTGCTGCGGCGAGAGACCCATTGGCGTGTGGAGGAGTAGGAGATGAGACGGAAGGGGACGCCATAGGTACCTCTCTGCCGTCGGTGATAAGCCTCCGGCACATGTACGCGCGCGTTGTTTGGTCGGCACACAACACATTCGAACGCACTATTATATACATACGGTGTTTTTTTTTTTCTTCGTTTCGGTCGCGTCATTATAATAATCCCGAAAAGTGTCACGAGCCCGACCCGGCACACACACATCCGCCCGCTATATTATAATATAGTCGTAGTCTTCCTCGCGCACCGTCCAAAACACGTCCTCCGAGCAGCTCGTCTTTCTGTTTGAGAAAAATAAAAAAAAAATATCGAATTTTATTCATTTTTTCCGTCGCGAGTGTGTGCGAGTGTGTGACGAGAGTACTACTCTCCTCGTCTATCGTTCCCGTCGATTGATACCCAGATCGTCCTTGCGCAGCAGAGGACAGCGTGACCGTCAGCTGAAAACATTAAACACTCCACACATAGACTCCTCTGCAAATACCGGCGGCGTTTACATAGGAATCCACGATTGCACGATACGTAATATCATAGTCGTGCCGAGTCCACAATGACGACGCGTCATAAGTTTCTACTGTTGGCGGCAACGCTTTTGGCCCTTTACGGTACCGCTGGAGCCCAATCACGGGGCGCCGCCGGGCCGGTCGGCCGGAGCATTTGCGACACTTGCGCGTGCGCTCCCGACAACGTCACTCCCGTGACGGTCAACTGCACGTGTACGAAGACAAAAGTAAGAAAACATTACCGTTTCGATATTATTGTTATTATTATTGTATTATTATTAGTGTACCTATTGTAATGAGTTTACGACTAAGGAACGAAACGAAAACAAAAAAAACGACCCTGTCACGCGTTTAGCGGGGTGGCCACTAAAAAACCTGTTTCAAGACGACATCGGGTATAAAAAATATATAATATATGTATATATATACGATGCCTCGGCGTTTCCACTGCTTTTGACGCCCAGACGTCGCGTTATGGTTGTTTTTTTTTTGTTTTTTTCCTCCCCGACATTCCACGCACGTTTCTCACGGCAAGTTGTTGGAATGTTCTGACTTGGACGATTTGGTGGTCCGTGTCGTATAGGAAAGGTACGACCCTCGTTGATCATCCGATCGTTTACACTTTACGACCACGAGAGTTTGTCGATCGTACACGGCGATTGTTTTATCCAGTTGTTTATCGACTTTCGAGCTGAGGAATTTCGGCGGCCACCTTTTTTTTTTATTATAAATTAACGAAGAAATTATTAAAGTCAACAAATATACTATACTTACGGCTAGTCATTACATTTATTTAATTTGTTAAATTTTTATTTTATAAACTTTCTTTTTTTTTTCCATGTTCGGGTATATATTTTACCATGCAAACATTCAACTCGAGTCATGGTGGTGTTTTTCTTGGTAAATTAAATAGGACTTATGGGAGTTTTAAAGTTTTCAGTACGATCTCTCTCCTGGGAAACATTATAGTAGATACGTAAAAGTACCGGCCTAACCATTATGATGTATAACACTTTTGTAATTTCATTTCAAAAATCACCTGCCCATTACTTATTTAAAGTTTCCATCCATTAGCATTTAATATTTCCCATAGTGACATATGTTTTAGCTGTGGAAGTACTCACAGTTAAAATTAAATAGTTTATTCATGTATTTATGGGTTTGCATGATATAACAATTTAATAAAATGTGTTATTTATTGAAAAGCTACTGACACGAAAAATATAATTACATAATATTATAATCAATTTTATTAATTATTGTGGACTTTGATTATATTTAAATGGATAGTTTAATATTATTTTTTACAAATTGATTTCTAAACGTTTTTTGATACTTGAGCATCATCATATCAATAGCCACATAGGTACAATATTATACACATACCTTAAGGCTAGTATATTGATTTTATATTACTAATAGGTACCATAACTGCTTTATTTTTTAATTTTAGAAGTTCACATACATACCTACCAATTTATATTATTTGTTCAAAGTAAATACATTTTGTTGATGAGTAATAAATTATAACTGAAATCATTGAGGTTATATTAATTTCATCTAGTACAGATATTTGATTATTTGATCAGAACAGAATAAAACTATTATATTTAGCATTTTATAATCATTTTAAAACTAATAAACTCGTATAACAAATATAACAGTCGGTAAATGATGTGGACTTTGTTTATACTGACTAATAAATTAACTCCAGAATGCAGAAATGTTTGACATTATCGCTTACTGACTACTGTAGTAACTATAGAAATGATTAAGGACTATAGTGCAGACTGAGACAGAGGCAAACACGGCTATAATTGCATGTTTGTTATTTATTTTATAGTTGTCTAAATACGTACGTGATCAATTGAGTATTATTTTATGAAATTAAATGTTTGATTGAAGAGATACGATTGGTCAATATTGAAATTTACCTTTTTTGAATTTTTTAGATTTAACACACAAAAATGACTATTATACATTTATACTCATCCATCATTATTATGAATATTATGATCTATAAAAAGTTATTATAGAAGATCGACAATAAAATATAAATACTTTTAAATGGTTCCCCAATACATTTATTTTCAATAACCAGTATTATTAAAAAATAAAAATATTAGGTACCAATATAAATTAATATTATTTGATTATTATTTATTAAGTATTATCAGTAAAAGTATTGTATTTGCAATAAGATATAGATTTGGTCTACACTTTATTAAAATAATAAAATATAAAAACATTTATAAAGTTACTTGTTAGTTGTTACTACGTAGGTACACTTTAACTCCGTGGTCAAGATATCCATACTTTTTGGACACACTGAAGTATCTACCTAATACCTATGGTAAATCTAAAACTACGGTTGCAGTAAATTAGTTGTTATAATTAAATTTCAAAAATACAATGGAGAAGATTTAATCTTTTTTTTTTTGTTTAGAGCTTTGATACAGTATATTTTTAATAATAAACGAGCCTTTTATATTAACAACTATACTTAGAACTAACTAAATTACTTTACTTCAGCTTTAAACCATAACGAGAAGGGTTCGGGCTTATTCGAATGGTTTTAATTATTTATTTTGACATTTATGTTTTCAGTACATTTAGTACAAATAAAACACGCAGTATCTAAATACATTGTATTAACTTACTGCTTGAAACTAGACATATTTATTTGTGTATTATATTCCATTTAAAACTATATTTACCTAATAGGTTATTGCAATAAATGTATAAATGTATACATTTTTTTTTAAATAAATTATTTTGTCTTAGACGTGACACTATATTTTAATCTTTTAACTAGAGTTAGGTAAGGTCATTAAATACAAAAATTTTTTCATACACGTTTTAATGTTTTTAATATTTATGAATTTATGAACTAAGCATTTTACATGGGGTTATTTTTAAACATTTACCTTTTACTAAAAATCAATTAACAGTTTTAATTAACACTTCTGATTAAAATTATTTGTATCATAGATTCATATTTTCTATGACTTCAATGTTATATAATATATATTATATTTTGTTTATCATTCGACAATACAAATATCAAAAAGTTTAATAAAATACGAGTTTATCTTGAATTTTCTTATCATAAATAAGTATGTATAAATGGAAAATCAGACTCAATAACGAGCATGCCAACATCCTGGTTCCTAATCATAATAAGAGCATAATATTATTTTATAAATTAAATGTTGAATAAAATAGTACCTATATATTGTGATAGATTTAAATAAAACTGAATGTCAATAACATATTATAAGGAGCCAAAACGCAATAAATATTTTAATAATGATTTGTGTAAATCGGCATCTACTGGTGTGACGATAGTCGGGACAGACACGCAGATATTGTTGAGGATATAATTGGTATGTAATGTTATGTATTGTATTCCTATAGTATATGTACTATGCACCTATGCCATATTATAACTGAATATGTATAATATTCTGAAAAATTATGATACAGGAGCTATTTTAAATAATCAACAATCTATAATATACTAACGTACTGATAATATTGTGCATTAATTTGTTCATCATTTAGTTTATTATCGTTATTCTAAAAAGTCCATTGACTTCCGAGTGCATATAATCTGTCTTCCGGTTTGCAGTTATTGACGTTAACAATACTCGTTTCATGAAATCACATATTATATTATTTACTACATAGATCAATTAATAATATGCTTTTGGATTATTGATCGATCTTAGTATATTAGTAACAAAGTGTATATTATCATGCTTGTGTGAAAACTAAAAGATGGTGTTTGATTTGAGGTCCAAAATTTACAAGATCGTATAAAGGTCTCGTTGAATAATTCCGGAACCATACCATGTCGGTCGTTACGTATTGTTGCATTATCAATCTTACGACTGTTTTTTATTTGTTTTGTGTTGTGTCAATAGTCCTTGAATAGTTGTAATATTGTTAGACACTCAGTGTTAATTACTAAAAAAATATGAATTATATAATATAATTTACAAAGAAAACAATAATAATAAATATTTAAAAATTAAATACAATTGGTTCATGGTTGTATAATTAAAAAAAAAATAAATTATATAGAGAATATAATAATAATAAAACAACGAATAAAAATTAAAAATCCATTTATAGTATTACCATCAGAAGTTTAATCTATATTAATAATAAATGCTCTAAAAAATATGCATTCGCGGACCAATAACGTTTAAATATTATGGTGACCGAAAAAATGAATCTTTATTTTTTTTATATATATATAAATGTATTCAATATGCTATATGTTGCATAATATTTAAATAAATCGTGTACCTAGGTACCTACATTCAAATAATATTTTGTTCCTGGCAGTTTTCCGTAATATTGTAGTTTTTTTCAAAATATATTAACGAAAACTATACTATACACATTACACAACTTGAAAACATTGAAATATACTTCAAAATCACCAAATTACGTAAAAAAAAAAAAAAAATAATAATAACAATAATAATCCTAAAATACGCCCTGAGACCTAAAAATCGTATTTAAATTTATAGATCCAACAAATAATATATAGGTAGGTAGTGACTTTTTACTTTACTAAATTTACTTTTTTATCGGCTACCACACATTTAGTCAAAATTAAAATAGTCAAAATAATTAAATGTTTTATTAATTGATAGAACCTATTATTCTAGGGTCCAAACTCTGAGATTATAATGTTAGTTTAAATAAGTAATTAATTGAGATTTTATGCAAATAACTACCATGTATTATTGATAAAATACTTCGGCTTATTATTATTATTTTATATACAATTTATTATAAAACAAATCGAAACGCAAAATGTGTAGTTTAATAGAAATTCGTTGGTTATTGATTTTATGTATACTTACCAAAAGTGTTTAAAAATAATAATAAGTTAAAAGTTTGATGAAATAATAAATTCTCATTCTTCAATCATTCAAATAATTTAACAATTTTCATTCATTTGTATTTTGTAAATTATAATTAATGACTTTACTAATATGTGTACAATTATACACTAATTCACAGAACAAACTATGAATATATTAATATTCATTAGATCAATGTTTTCCTAAAGATTTCAATCTAATCTAAATTAATGTTGTTACGAAATTTGTTTGGGTTCTTTGAATTTGATAACAGCATATATACTCTCGTCTCGTATATCCATGTAATTGTTTTAGGTTCTTCAACAGAAAGCGTCTTATCTTTAAGAGCTAACAACATTAAAGTTTATGACCTTTTATAATGAAAAGTTACTAATTATTTCCATTAAAATAACGTAAGATTTAATTAGAAACGAAGGAATATTTCTAAACAAAGTTTTAGTTTAATTTGAGCTTTACAATATTTTTTCAAATTTAGTTTGACTGTTGTTTAACATGTCAAGTTGTATACATGAACTGCACGTAAACAAGAAGTTTCAAGAAATTGTTGATTTAATATTAAATGGAGTGTAAAATAATGATCATAATAATATTTGAAAATTACTTAACTAACAAATATATTGTAAATAGAAAAATTTGTAAAACTACTAACCTATAATATTAGAATCCTTAATTATAACTAGATTGTACATTACCAGTGTAAAAACTACTGTAGGCTAATGACCTAGTAGTCGAAGCCTTATCTTTAATAAAAAAAAAAAAAAAAAAAAAAAAAAAATAATATTTGACTGCTGATAATATAAGTCGACAAGTCGTGTGTATTTTACCGAAATCCTTCGTCAAATTGTTGTATTGAACTTAAATGATTAATAGATTACTGTAACATAAAATGTCGTTCGAATTTTATGATAGATAATCAACACGGATTGTTAGAAATATTAATGAATACCAAAATAATAATAAAAATAACTCTAGATCTTAAACCGTTAATCATTTTAGTGTCTCATTCCGTTTAGTATTTTATTTGTACGTTTCATTTGATTTATTGTTATTAAAAAACGGTTTAGTCCGTTACCTACCATTGTACACACATACAAATCACTAGACTCTTGTGTGCTTAATGTATTGAATAAAGAACCGGATTGCCAGCAACAGACACATTAAAATATTAAAAGAAACATTTTTCATCTTGCGTCAAGGGTGTAGATAAAAACCGTTTCTTTGTGAACAACTGTCCAGATAAAATGATAAGCATAAAATTAGCCTTGAAATTATGATTGCAGTATTTGAAAGAGACTAGGTTTATATATAATAAAAAAGATTTGTCAAACAGTAAAAGATAAGTTCTAAATACAATAAACACAAATAAATTCATTTGATTTCGGAAAATTAAAAATAACATTTAAGTTCACACATAAATATTAGTATATAGGTAACATTTTCAGTTATACAAATAAACAATACCTTTTTTTTTTTTTTTTTAAAAAGAATATTTACAATCTATACAATAAGGGATATACAATAAATACGAATTTTTCTGAATTCGGTATTATTGTATAGTGTGTGTGTTTTTTAAATTGAATTTGAATTGAAAACAACTATATTGTTGACAATAGTTTACTATTATTTATATGTAGTACATTTTTGTCTACATAGGTAGGTTCTATAAATACTAATAGTTAAGTTTTTAAGCGCTTTATCCTGTTTCTTTTTTTGCTTAAACTATAAATGTATTAAATTAAATTGTATACATTATAGTGAATAATATGCACACTAAAAATAGACATTCTATACATAACATGACTACCAAAGTTAAACTTGTTTTTACAAACCTATAGTAGTATGTATACGTTACAATATGTATAATTACTAAGTACCAGAGCTCAAAAACAGTTATTATGAAAACCGTTTAAATTCTATGTTTTTCATTTTTCAACATCGTATCCACAGCCGAAACCAAAAGCTTTCAAACCCGGATTAAAATATTGAAGTTGAAAGCTAAAAATTAAAAAAATTAAAACAGAAAGTGTCACATGGGACACCACTCGGAATATGTGAAAACTTAATATACATGAGCTTAGAAATATAGATTTATTATGTTGAATTTGAAGTAATTAATATTTTTAATTTAAAACACATACTTTCATATTATTTGTAAGATAGGATTGAAAATGTTTAAGAATTATATTTGTTCAAATTTTATTCTTCAGAACACAAAGAGATAACTTTTATAGGCTAAAATATTTACACCATGGGTAGGTACGCTACGTACATATTTACAGGCGCATATATATATAAAAGTCACAAACAAATTTAACCAAAAAATTAGCATGGCAAGAATTCCAATCTCGACCTAACTCCAAGGTTGACGCCCAATCCGACGTCCAAATTAGACTGTTAGTGGCAAAATAATTTTCGGTGTTTTTCGAAAAACTTGAAAAACCAGCAGAACTTCAGATAGGTATAAAAATCGACTCTCCTTTTAATACTTTAATAGGTGTGGAGTGTTACGCGAAACCGATATCGCCCGAAAATGTTCACTCCCCAACGCCATAAAATACCGTAACCGTAACTGTTAAAATTTGCAACGATTTCGAGCCATCTAACTGTCCTACGTTCTATAAAACAAAACGCCAACAACAGTCACCGAATGAATGATCTGTCTCCCCTTACAAGGGACAACCTACAAATATTATCGGTGACACGATTTACCTTGTCTTACCTTGACACACCGCCATCCGGAGAAGGGCGACTCGTCGGCCGTCGCGTTTTACCGGAAATGTCGAGGATCGCAATCAAACGTGCGTTTAAGCAAAAATATCGGCACATACCATTATTTATTTATTTCGTATGGCACATACCACTGTAATATTATATTGAGACAAACGAAGACGACGAAAAAAGGTTCGAATCGAACGGCACGACGGACGCAGAGACAAATGGCCTGGGGACGGCTGAATTTGCCCGGCACTGTAAATATATCGCGGTCACCCGTTCGTGATTGTACCGCATACTGATGTGGACCGCGGTCACCGAGTTTATACTGCGGTCGAGGCGACAAAATGTTTTGTACCACGGACGCGGTGACCGCCGTCCATCGTTCGGTTATCCGCTGGGTAACCGCGATATTTTCCGTTTGCCTGTCTGAATTGGAAAACGTCTACGGTGGCCGACTGCAGTTTTGTGTTGTCCACGCTGCTGTCCGGTTTTCAACGATTCTCGATCAAATAGTTTTCGCTCTGCCGCTCGCATATATTATTTTCATATTCATAAACAATTGTAGTTATTTCATTGAAACTACATAATAATATATTGTAATACATAGGGTAGCTTATGGTAATTGTAAACCACAAACGTTTAATTCATATTTATAAGATGTATATTAGGTAGGTCATCAGTATAGGTTCTATAACAGTATGTGACCGCCAAGAGCCAAGTATATTGTTTTTTTTCTAAGGGACGTGCGTAAAACAGTGGCGTATTTAGGAATTTCTCATGGAGGGGGTCCAGCTAATTTTACTAACAAATTTAAGTGGAGGCTCAGCTACAGAATATATTAATATATTATATAGGTATTAGATGATTAGGGGGGGGGGGGGTCTGGATCCCATGGACCCCTCCCCTCCCCCGTAAATACGCCACTGGCATAAAAACATTCTTACTACTGCTGAATAAGTAAGTGGTAGACAAATCATCAAAATGAAAAAGAAAATTTACATTTATAATTTAATTATATAAGTAAACAATTTAGAAATAATGTATACCTATTAATTTATTATGTTCAAGTATTTTTAGAAAATTATTAGTACCTACCTTAAAACATCTATTTTTTGTAAATAGGATATGTTTAATTCTACAGATCTGAATAAGTGATGTATACGTTCAAGGCCATACTTGAAGGGGGAAGGTAAGGGGTTCAGCCCCCCTAAATTTTGTTGTTCTGATTACAGGCTAAGATTTAATATGTATTTAATATTTAGTATGCAAAAGTAAAATATTATAAAAAGCTAAATTTTTTTTAAGGAATTTACTTTTTATTTGATGATAGATAATCTTAATTGTTCGTATTGCTTTATAATTACTTTCAAAATCATTTAAATCGTTTTTTTGTGAGTATAACTACGTTACTATAACGTTTTCTATCGATATAGCCGTAACCCAACTTATTATACTCATTTAATTGATGAAACGTAATTATTATGATCAATGTGCCTAACCTCGTTTACCGTTGAACGGGGATTTACGATGTATTAACAATATTAATTTCGAGTGTCCGTTTGATCCACAGCTGCTGATCGTCCGGGAACAGGACACCGCGATCCTGTCGTCCGTCCAGGATTTGACGCTGGCCAGTTGCGGCTTCGTGTCTCTGCCGTCGTCCGGGCTGTCGAGCTCGACGTCGCTGTCCCGCGTCACTGTGCGTGACATGAAACTGTTCCACTACACGGCCGGCTTGTTCCCGGCACTAGAGAGCCTGTCCGTCGAGGACGTCGGCGAGCTGGTTCTGGACGGGTTCGGGCCAGCCAACCGGACGCTCCGTCACCTGACGCTCCGACGCACCACCGTGTTCAGGCTGGTCAAGGGCACGGTGACGGCGGCCGCACCGCTGCGCCGCGTCCTGTTCGACCGGGTGGACGTGGACGAGATCGAATCTGGAGCGCTGGACATGTCGTTCGTCAGCGACGGCGACAACGGCCAACTACAGGCGGCCGCCGACAGGTTCACAGTCGTCGATTCTACGGTAATTATTCTATCCATTTAAGAATAATTTTTAATATAAAAATCATTAAAAATTATCGTTGTCTATACTATAGGTACCTACTATTTTTTTATTATTATGATGTGATGAAATAAACGAAAAGGAATTATAATGTGCGTCACTAGTCACTACGTACACCGCTGGCCCTCTCCAAAATTATGTCTTTAGATCTCACTTGAAAAATAAAATAACTAGTTCACATTAAGAGACTTATAAACACCTAATATAAAAATGAGATGAAGAAAAACAATATTGTCAAGAGCATTTTAGATCGTATTTTCTCATGACTCACTTATTATAGTATAGGTATACAATTACTTGTCTAATGTGGACATGTGGTTATAATAACGCCTGAAAAATATTGTATCAATTATTTCTTTCTATTGCTATTTAAAAAAAAAATTTGATATAGGATTATGAGTTGGCTTAATAAATGATAATAATATGTTACAACAAAAACTCTAGATAAAAGAAATTCTTAAATTTTACTAGTATTAATGCTAGGATTTACTAATCATATATACTTAGTAAGGGCTGACACCATGTCCATTCCGGGGGTAAACACGTTTTACACCAGTGCACAACCTAGAATCTACAATTATGCTAGCTAAAGCTATATAAATATTATTTATATTCATAACTAAAAACTTATACAAATCAAAATATAATAACCGTTATTAGCAATCAGATATCGTGATACTTTAATATAATACTACTGCTGGAAATTTACAACGTATAGGTGCTCTACTTACAATAGAAATTAACTGTCATTATACTATTATTTTGGTGTTTGACTATTTTAAATGTATTATTTTAACGTCGCTATCGATTAACAATTTGATGAGTGTTGAAATGAAAAAAAAAAAAGATGACATAATTATTGTTTTTATTAATAATTCCGTTAAATTATATAAGGTGTCATAATAGTTACGTTTTTTGCACTTATAAAAAATAATTTAATTTTAATAGGCACCTATATTTTTTTTTATCTTTTATTAATTTAAATATGTAACATAGTCTATCGGTAATTAAATGAAAATAATATAATTTTAAGCTTGGTAAAAAAATTTTTTTAAAAAAAATATTTTATGTAACAGCCATAGGTAATTGATAGTTTCTGTGATAAAATTGAAATTGTTGACTAATATGTGCCATACGTTTTGTGATATACATAATCAGTTTTCATTTTTAATATTTATTTTTCATTTAAATAGTTCCATTCTCTAAAAGTCACAATAGTAATTTATATTGATAATATTAGAACTCTTACAAATTTATATATAAATTTAATCTTTATGGTATATATTGGTTTTATGGAGAAAACAGTTTTCCAAACAACATAATTTTATAATTTATTTGTGTTTTAGTAATAAATATTAATTATTGTTTACAACATTCATATAACATTTTAAAATAATTGAAACGAGTTTTATATTTTAGAATAATAAAAAAATATTACGTTAACTCTACTGATATTGAAAAATAACAATAAAAATAAATTGAAAATGTCTATAGGGAGGTAGATGGAATACTACAATACGGTTATTATCGTACATAGTGAATATTAATATTCAGCATTTCTTTACTACCTATTATACCGATCTATGAAACATATTTTATTTACATTTAAAACACGTCGCCTTTCCGACATTTGCTCACTTTTCTTTACTGCACACACGATAAATTAAAACCACAGCCTACAATCCACATAATATACATAAGCATAACGTAGGTATATATATAATGTATATTATATATATTTAGTATATTGTATTATATTGTTGGTGGAAGTAACAAAAAAATCATATATTTGATAAAAACCATGTACTATTATAATTTCATCGACAAACTGGATCTGCGGACTGCAGTGATAAAGTTCATTAATTTTAGTTTCTTAGTGGAGCACTGGATGTATTGACTTTACATGATTTTTTTTCATTTTTGTGTCTGTCATCACCTTTTGGAGGCAGTAAAAATGCTGCTATATTCAACTATGAGGTTGGTTTCTGGTAGCAAATTGGATATAGGTAGTATTGATACTTCTGGGGGTCAAAAGTAAAAAATTCCTATAACTTTTCTAGAAACCGGGAAATACAAACAAAAATGAAAAATGAAGGAAAAACGGTTGAAACTTTCAACGTACTTTATTATATTATTTTATATACACGCTGACATTTTCAAATACAATGTTATCGGCAAAAATTAATTCAATCTAGCGTATTCCTGATTCAAAATTAAATCGCTATGATATCAATATTATAATAACATGGGCCGACTTCGTTCACAATCGTTTTTTGTATGCAATACTTTATCACTGAATTCAAATTCATTAATTTATAATTTGTTTTAAGGTACAATATTTTTAAGTCATAAACTACCATAGTATTTGGTATACACAAACATTTACCAAGATATTTAACACTGTGTAAGTGTAAAAAATTAGATTATTATAATATATAATTCGAAAATATATTACCAAAATCGTAAAAAAGTGGATTGCCTAGTTGATTAAGCATGACTCGAAAACAAAAATCAACCTAACTGCACAACAATGATAATTAACTATAAAAAGTTAAGTTACAACGATAAAAATTTTAACTGAATAAGTTAATAAGTTAAAAACAAAAATAATTAACATTTCAACAAGCCCACCTTTGCCTAATATTATACCGAAGAGCAGTTACCTACTTCCATCCCTTTTTTATTCGAAACCTGAAACGACAATAAACATCAGCTTGACTGAACTGAAAAATTATAATATTTAAAAAACTCATATTCATGTAAAATATGCTTAACGACTAATATAGCAGTTGAACGAGAAAATCTCATCTGAGGTACCTACCTATTGCACTATGCCTGCAGTGTTCTGCAACAATATCAGCATAATTTAATTACTGTTGTTAATATTATTTTACCAACGTATGACAGTGATTACTACTTATCGAGTTTCGTATAATTAAAATGTTGCTAAACCATAAAATATATCCAACATGGAAACAGCTATAATAACACACCAATGATTATTAATTACAAAATCTGTATAGTGTTTGCATTATTTAATTACAATTATAATAAGAGACTTGCTTTATTAAAGTGGAAGAGGAATATTCAAAACACTTTTTTTTTATTTTATTGAAAACACGTTTTATTTGTTTTTGAACATTTCGCTGTAATTCAGTTTTTGTTATTGATTCAATATGGTACTAAATACAAAATGTAAATTTAATTAATAATTCCGGCCAAGAAAAAATAAAAAATAAAACCAGTAGTTATTAATTTAATTTCCTTCTACAGTATGATATTGATAGTTTTTAAATGAATGGATTTTATCGAAAAGTTTAAATATTGAAATATATGAGTTCTTATATTAAATTGAGCACCAAATTTAATTTGGAATGTATTTTGACATAAGTAATCAAACTTCGAAGAAAAATGACGTATGACTCATTGGTTGTATTGATTTGTTTGGCTATCATTTTATTTAATTTGCGAGTTTCCTCTTTAAATATCTTAGGATTTGTTTAAATGAAATTATAGTTTATACCGATATACGTAGACGTGAACAAATCGTATTAATTAATTTTAATCTTACTCGCAATGACGAATGCTTCATTTTCGTAATAATTTTAATCTTTGGAATATATTTAAGTTTTAAAAACAATCTCAAAACTAATATTGTTTAAGAATAATCAATTTTAAATGATATAATATAATAAAGAACTCCCCAGAAAAACGTACCAATAACTAATAATTAATAAGTATAATATATTTTCAAAGTACTTCGTGTTTTTAAAACATTTTTTTTATTTATATAATATAACGATTTATGATATTTATTTATGTAATATAAATTGAATCTCATTAAACATTCATTTAAGAAAGCAGGCATTTATCGCATGTTGGGTAGCTATAGGGAAGTCATTGTGTGGGTTGATTTAGGGTTGAATGGCTATAAAACCTAGTGTGTTTTCAATTTATTGTATTAAACATATGAAAAATTGAATTTTTATATTTGTAATACGATTCTGAGTAAAATTCGTTGACTATATTTAATAAATTGTACACGATTAAAAAAAAATGGTCTGGTGAGTTCGAAATATTATTAACGAATAGTATGATATAAAATAATATTATTTTGATTTATAAATTAATATTTCAACAATTTATGAAATATGAATTCTTGTGTATTTAAATTAAAAAATTAAATTAAATACAAATTAAAATTAAAATTTTGATGTTGGTACTTTATATTTAATTGATTTTCACACGATGTCTTAAGTATAATTTTGCAAGTATTTAATTGTAAAACATACTTACAATCCAATAATTATAAACAAAACTGTATTTATTTTTGTAATATCATTCTTAAAAATATTAGAACTCATCCATTACCATACGTGAGTATAAAGTTTACACATTTGAATATTTTAAAACTATACCCTAAGTCAGACATCTATTGTAAACTAAAAATAATTTTAGAATTATAGAATTATGATAAAAAAAAAAAATCACTGAAGTGCAATATGATACAAAATATATGTACCTATGAAGTACACACATACAGTACACTTTATGAATAATTCATCGATATAGGTAAGGTCGAACTAGACCACACACAGTGACATTGACAATGTAAAGACGACTGTTACAAATGATAACGTGACATTAAAATAATATATAAAAGTGTTTGTCGTTAAGATGTTTTACCCCCTTAGTTTTTTTCAGCTAACAAACGCGTTATAATAAAATATTTCAGTCTAAGTAGGTAATATATTTTAACAAGAAGTTTTCAACAGACAAGTTCACGAGAAAAGTGTGGAAAGTTTGACGAACAAAACAATCTTAATAAAATGCAAAATTTAAGGAGTAAAAAGTTTTTTTCTTTTTACTATAAAATTGAATGTCTAACTTTGAACGTTAAATGCTACTATGCTAACGAATTTTCTCGAAATCCATCAAATAAAATCACAAAAGTAGTTCTT